CTGCCCCGCCGGGTGGCAGAGCTGTGGCCCGGGGCTGTGCTGCCGAGGTGCGGGTCCCGTCAGCCCTGGGGACGGAGGACTTGAACAAGGGAGACGCTGCCCTGAAAGGAATGGGCTCCATCGTGCATGCTTGTGTGTCTGCTCGTGAATAAAAAATGTCTTGAAAATGCCCATGTTTTATGGATGAATGTGAGCTCAGCGGTGCTCCTTGGGCACAGATGTTTCTCCCTGGTGCAAAGGAAGGTACAGCAGTGCCCACCTCACACCTGGTGAAACCTGCGCTAGTTATGAGGGGCCCAATATGTACCGAGTTCTGCAAAAAGGCAATTGCTTATACAAGCCTTGATGTGAATCCCTGGGACTTTGATATCAAAGTGACTTATTTTTTTTTTTAACGTTTCAAGAGCAAGCATTTACAAAAGTGCTATTTGAAACATGCTAGGTAATGTGTCCCTAAACACAATCTAGGGCTGTTCAGCAAGCACCGTAAGTACTGCTGTGACCCCCTGTCCCCAGCAGGGCTGGCACAGCTAACTCACTCCTACTACCAGTTTTGGGGCTGAATGTGCCATCAAACAAGTCGGCCCTAATGGAAAAAGGTGGCAGAGAGATGCAGCAGGGAGCGTCATGGCGTGGGAGGGCTGGGCTTGCCCTGTTCGGCTGCAGCCTGGGTTAGAAGAACATAATGTAAAACTATATATTGTGTCTTCTGGGACTGAAGCGAGACAAACCTAGCGGAGCAGCCTCACTCCAGTGTGAGGTTTTGTGTTTCTGGCTTGATTCAAAGGAAGGGGCTTCAGCTGTGTCTGCTTGTAGCCTCCTGGCCGGCGTCCCTGTTGCTCTTGGAAGCGTTGAGGTCTTTGGGGAGGGCGATGGGTGGCAGGGCTGGGCGTGAAGAAACAGGGCTAGGGTAGGGAGAGCAGGGAGCTGCGAGCCAGGTGTGAGAGGGCTGCGTCTGCTTTTGCTTTCTGTGCCTCTCAGTTACAAACCAGGCAGGAATGTAAGCAGCGAGGGCGTGAGCTTAGTGGATAGGAGGCAGGAAGAGCTGTCAGTCCCTTCCGTTTCCATCCACCTCTCCCAGCTTGGCCTTGGCCTTCCCCCACCCCTCTAATTATTCATTAACTACAGCCCAGGAAGTGCTTTGCAAATGGTGAAAATTAAGCCCTCTGCCTGAGGTCTGCGGTTTGCCTGGCCTGGAGCTACCTCCTCCTTGGTCTACCTAGGAAGAGGGCAGAGTTTGGGACTGTGCCTGTGTGGATCCAACGCAGGTGAGTCTCGAGAGATGCCGCAGCCCCAGCTGCTCCTCCAGAGCCGTGGCACTCACCGCCATGAGCAGCCAGCCCTGTCCGGAGGGTGTGAGTCCACCCCTCCTCCATCAAGGTCTTTGACCTCTCTCCCAAGTCCGTCTCAAGATACTGTCTTGATAATTCCAATATTGCTTTATTTTCTTTAGTAGGACCCCCCCGTTAAGGGCTGTGGTACTTCCTCCACCAGCTGCTGTCAGTCCCTTTATCAGTGGGGATCTGGGAGTCAGGATCCTGATGCCATCCTGTGGGTGAGTGCTGTGAACGCTAGTTAGGGGGAGAAAACAAGAGCTGTTGGTGAGAAAAATGAAAATACTGGCAGTAGGCATCAGGCACAGAAGAATAAAAAAAACCCCACCGTCTTCTAATAAGAGATACAGGATAGCTGAGGACAGGAGTTTGTAGTGGTTTAGATTGTTACTGCTGTTAACGTTGCTCCTTCTCACTTCAATAAAGAGTAAGCAAGATTTGCCATGCCCAGTCCGCTCCAGTTACTCTGCCAGCCCCGCAGCTGCATCTCTGAGTGGTTTTGTGCAGAGAGAGGTCAGGTGGCAGACCCTTTTTAATCTTGGTTATTTCTTGGTTTGCTACAGCCTTTATAGCCCTTTCTGGAGCAGCAGGACATAAAATCTGCACGGTCAGTCCAAACGGGTGCGCAACCCTGAGGGCTGCAGTGGTGTGGTGTAAGGAAATGGGTCGCACTAGCATTACTCTGTGGTAAGGATCTGGGCAACCACAGTGGTCCAGCGCTGTCCTGGGGTCCCATGGCCTGACAGAGGCTTGGGCAAGTCACAGGAATATGGTCCATCTGCCCGTTCCTCAAGCCCAGGTGGCCTTCACTCTGCGCTAGCAACTGAACTACAATGCAGTTCTGTGCTGAACAGCAAAACCTCCTGTCTACAGTCAGCTCAGTGCTGAGAATTAGAAGTGACATATGCAATGCTGATTCTCAAAAAGGGCTCCAGATGGGACCCCCTAAATGTGAGGGAAGCACGGAACAAGAAAGTTGGTATCTGGGTAAGAGGGTAGGCAGTATAATGGAGAAAGCAATGAGTGAGATATTGAGTCAGCATCTGCTTTTGTAAAGGCAAGTCCTGTCTTGTAAAAATAAGTTTTTTGAGGGACTTGGCAAGCTTGTGGATAAGGGAGGTCTGGCTGATACAGTTTCCTTGGATTTCCAAAAAAAATTATTTGACAAGATTTTCTCATCAAAGTCTT